TAGTGTTTTTACTGTATGATGATTTGTGGTTATTGTAATGTTATAGAGCTTTTACTGTATTTATGTTTACTTGTTTTCTAAGTTATATATAGGTTTTACTATATTGATGTTTGCATTTATTCTAACCTTATAGAGCTTTTATTAAACTGAAAGCACTGTTACCTTTTCTGAGGTTTGTCTAGACGTCTTCAGTGAGAAAATCCAAGTCCATCTTCATCTGTGTTCATTTACAGCAGATCTACAGAAGAAAACATCACTTCATCTTCATTTCAGAGTATCTTCTCCCACTGGAGCATTTTACAGCATTACAGAGCTGAACTCACTCTGTCTCAGTCCGGACTGAACCACAATATGGCTGAACTTTTTATTATTCTTTAGAAAGAGAGAAATCGGTTGGAGCTCATTTCAGTCTCATTACATCATCAGTGGATCTAAAAATACACTCTGCTGCAGATCTCTTACTGTTTGTACATGACCAGCAATGCAGTGAATAATAGTGATTTTTGTCTCCAGTTAAAGTTCTGACTAAAAATTTTCTCTCTCTACCAGGTGAGCTACAAGACTCCACACGGAGCGTTCACTACCATTCCTAATTAGCTGTGCAACCGAAAATTATATTGATTCAATTAAAAAAGCAGCTCCTTCATAAACACAACACACACACACAGAACAGCGTGTTACAAACACAATGTCAAGTAACTAAGAGACTCGACAGAGAACGTGAAAATAGTTACTTATTTAACTTCGAGTGAATCAGTTCCCATTTTCTTACACATAAAATATGTATGGCAGCAATATTGTGTAACAAGTTGGCATATAATTTACAATTCTATCTTGATTTTTTTCCTCTGTTGTAGTGTGATGTCATTGACATCAGGAGGGATTGCATCATAAAAAGCCTGGTCATCTATTTGAATGAAAACCAGAGTCTTTTTTCAAGCAATATTTGGTACGTTTATTACAATTTACATGTACAACATGTGTCAAGATATTAGGCAAATCTAGATATTCAAGATGTTATCTCAAAAAATAAGATACAAGTGAAAATTACGTGTTATTTACAAATTGGTGGTCAAAAGTATTGCATGTCATGAAATTGGAGAGATTAATCATTTAACAAAATATGCACTTTACCTAAATCTGTGCAATAACAGTGAAAGCAGTAGTTTCATGGAGGTGGTGCTGTACAAACTTTTGAACTGACAGAATGATGTTAGGATTCCTGTAATGATTAAGCGCTTATTCACAGATGTAACTGCCATGATTAGATATAACCAAGAAGAGTCTTTGATTTATTTATTTGGTTATACTCTGATCTCTGCAGGTAAAATACATATTGCTGATGTTGAAATAGCATCTCAAGTTTATCCTAGGAAGAAAACTGATGTCTAATTGATGTATAAACGAGCCATAATTGCGTAGCTTAATGAAGCTCTGTGGCTTTTCATAGGGACTCGGACACGGTTGACATGCCAGAACTTGATGAAATTTTGTTTCAAAAATGATGTATGATAAATGTGTGTGTTTGTTTCTGTAACAGCAAATCTGAAATGTATCTCATATGGTCACATGGTCATGTGTCTCTGTTTTGTTCAGTGAATCTTGATCTGAACTCACAAGAGTTTACTTTTATTCTCTTTTATTTGTTTTGAATAATTTAACCAATGAAAGGTTTGATTTGTCTTATACTTACAGGTTGAGATCAAACTGAAACAACCAACACATTTTTAACAGTCTCCTCTTTCTCTCTGTCTGTCTGTCTCTCTTTGTCTCTGCCTCTCTCTCTCTCTCTTTCTCTCTGTCTCTCTCTCTCTCTCTCTCTCTCTCTGTGTGTAGAGGTTATTCGAGATCACACAGACTCACTGAGGATTTATATAAAAGTCTAAATCCAGCGTGGAGCGGTTCAGCAAATGTGGTGGTGAATGTGTGTAGGTGGGTCAGTGTGTGTGTGTCTGGGGAGATGGTGTAGAAGGACAGGACCCCGGACACCCAGTCCAGATACACTCCTACTCTGTTAGAGGGGGAGGGAGGGGCAGGTAGGACAGTTTCCTGTTTATTGTGTCTGACAGAGTATCTGTTATTAGTGCAGTACAGACTCCAGGAGTGATTATTGTTTCCAAACTCACAGTCAGTACTGAGTCCTTTCCTCCTGATTCCTTTATATGATACTGATATGCCAATGTTTCCACTCCACTGAACCTCCCAGTAACAACGTCCAGTTAGACTCTCCACACTCAGAACCTGCAGCCAGCAATCAAATCTCTCTGGATGATCTGGATAACGCTGACCCTGCAAGACCCACTCCACCTTTCTGTTCCTCCCAGACAGAGAGAGGAATCTATTCACTGTGTTTGGATCCAGAGTGAGATCACACACATCTGTAAAAACACACACACAAACAAATTAGAGAGGTCACAGAGAGAATTTTAATCAATATGTGTGTGTGTGTGTGTGTGTGTGTGTGCGTGTTACATTTCTGTGGTCCTGGTTTCATCCTGATCTTCCCTCCATAATCCACCCTGAAGAACAAACACACACATTTATACATTCGTTAAAATTAATATTAAATCAAAAATAAAATAAATCAAATCAAATAAATCAAAACTGAAATAAAGAATAAAACAGATCATTACAGTATAAAACACTCTTCAGACCTTACAGTTCACATAAAAGTAAAATAAAATAAATAATAAAAAAAATCATCATAGTATGAAACACTTCAGACTTTATTATTTATTATTATTATTATTATTATTATTATTATTAACACTGACATGACACTGCTAGTGCTTTAGCTCCATTACCAATTTACGGAACACTCCCATTAATCACACTTTTAGTTAGCTCACAGTCGCACTGCTAGGCTAGTTAGCACTAAACCACACTGATAGGCTAGTTAGCTCTAAATCACACTGATAAGTTAATTAGCACTATATTATCCTGATAAGTTAGCACTACCTCACAATGCTAGACTAGTAAGCTCTGGCTCACACTGCTAGGCTAGTTATCATGACATCACACTGCTAAGCTAGTTGGCTCTAGATTATTGCTAGGTTAATAAGCACTACATCACACTGCTAGGCTGGTTAGCTCTTGATCACGCTGCTAGTCTAGTTAGCTTCTTTTACTCCAAGTGAGACTTTTATATATGTTTGAGTTATTATTATTGTAATGGTCTGTTTAAATCATTTAAACCCTATATTTCATTTAAAATAGTACAAAGACAACATATCAAATGTTGAAACTGAGAAATTTAATTGGTTTTTGAAAAATATATGCCTATTTAGACTTTGATGGCAATAACCAAAAAAAATGTTCCAAAAAAGTCAGGATGGGGCAATAAAAGGCTGGAAAAAAAGTTGTGTGATGCCAAAAAACACCTGGTGGTTAATTGGCAACAGATTAGTAACATGATTGGGTATGAAAAAGCATTCCAGAGAGGCTGAGTCTTTCAGAAGTAAAGATGGTAGTTGGTAGAAGGAACTCCTGATAACAGTTAATTTGTTTATCAAACTTGATTAGGGTAAAATATTACCCCAAGGTTTTTTACCTTAGGTTTCGCATATTCCAACAGTCTACAAAGATTATTTATTAAAAGATTGATATGCCTGGGGGAGCCACAGAGGGTTACTTCATTTTTATCTTCATTTATTTGGAGAAAAATGCCCTCCAATTAACAATTAATTTCATATAGACATTCATTCAGCCATTTGAGTGAACATGGGTCTTTATGCTGCAAGGGGAGATACAGCTGTGTGTCATCGGCATAACAATGGAATTGAATATCATACTTTCCAGTGATCTTTTGCAATGGAATCATGTATAATGAAAACAGCACTGGACCTAAAATGGATCCTTGAGGAACTCCACAACTGATGGTAGAAGTAAAGGAATGGAAATTACCAACATGTACTGTAAAAGTCCTATCAAAAAGATAGGACTTAAAACAGCTTAGCACTGTCCCTATAAGTTGTGGTTGACAATATCGAAAGCAGCTGTAAGTTCCAGCAAAACCAGTATAGCACACTTTTGTGTATTAACAGCAAGTGGCAGGTCACTGCTATAAGTGTGTTTACTCTGTAGAGATTTAGACATATAAATGGAAGTTAACATTCAGTGAGCTGATGGACAGCAGGACTGTCACTAAAAATCACATTATTAATCTACGTTATTTTGACACAATTAAGTAAGCTTTTCTTAAAGGCCAAACCAAAAGAATGCATGTTATTTAATGTAAGCCTCATTTTGTTACACAGTTCACAGAAAGATGTGTAAATGTGCACTAGCAGAACATACTGTGATCAGTTTTAGAGCTCATAACCTTTTTTTTCATGTCATATGTTTTCTTTACTTTTTTTTCCTGAACAGATTATTTCCATTGATATAAGAAAGTCATCTCAGAAATATTTTCAGGTTGTGATTGCAGAAATACAAAAAGTTACTTAATTATTTAAGTACTTTTCCAGTAAACAATTTATTTACTCTTACTTGATTAATTTTCTTTACTAATATATTTACTGGTATTAATTTATCACTACAGTAACAGTACTTGTACTTAAGTAAAATGTTCACACCAGTGGTCATAACATGTTCTAAACAACATTGATGTGTCTGTGTGAAATAAATGAAAATCTGCATGTTTTTAAACATATTGAGAGATTTTTTTGGGCTTGTATTTCTAGTGATGAGTTTGGTGACAACTCCTGTTGTAAACTAAATAAGCACATGTCAGATACCAAACGTCTGCATCTTGGGTAAGTGATATATCATGTTAATTTCATTTATTGCCAAAGTATTCCTGTCTGTGACCAAAACACAGCTGTTCTAAGATCAGCTGAGTCACTACTGATTGGGTAGCATTGTCACTGGTTCCACACAGGTCTGTCATATTCAAAAGAACAACCATTCAATAGCAAACATATGTGCAGTAAAACATTACAGTCAGTAATGTGTATAACTACAGTCAGTCTGTGTATAGAGATAGTAAGGCAGTTACTCACCGTAGTTTCTCCAGTTTACAGTGTGGATCCTCCAGTAGATCAGACAGCAGCTTCACTCCAGACTCTCCTGGATGATTATAGGTCAGATCCAGTTCTCTCAGGTGGGAGGGGTTTGATTTCAGAGCTAAAGCCAAAGAAGAACAGCCTTCATCTGTAATCATACAACCAGACAGTCTGTAGAATGGAAGGAAAAACAGGAACAGAAGACATTTACAAACAGCAGAACTGCAGTAAGAAAAATAACACAATGAGCACCAGATTCTGTAAATATACACCAATCCCCAAAAACACAGTAAACAGACTCAGAATTGTCACAACAGTAATTACAAGATGATGAAAAAAAAAATCATTCTAATTCAGGTCTCCAGAAGACATGATTAGGAACAGAATTTAAGAAGAACCAAGACTCCAAAGCAGAAAACATTTTTCTACTGGAAGTATTATAGAGTGAAGTTACAGATGAATTGCCACGGAGGATGTTAACAAACACTGTCATAGTGAATGGAATTTGAATCAGAAAGAAACATTAGCTCTGACCTCATCACAAAATCAATAGATATCTGAAACAACATTTAGATAAAACAGGCATTTTGGAATGAAATGCTCTTTGCTGATGAATGATGAAAAATGGAACTCTATGGCCACCAGTGTTAGGATTACAACTTGGTATTACAAGTTGCTAATCAATTCTCTCAAAATGAAAATGGGATTACATTAAATATTACTACCTGGAAAAAGTCATCTTACTACACTTTATATACTTTATACTGTACTCTTTCTGCTTCTCCATTATGGTGCTTTTCGAACCTGTAGTTCCACAGTTTGAATCCATCTCAGAGTGACCCAGAGTTTTTGTTTCAGTCTTTTAAGCTTGTTTATATACCTTCTCTGTTAGTTAGGTTGTCCCTTCATTTACTGAAATATTTCATTTTTGAATTCAGCTCTGCACTTGAGTTTGTCTTTGTCTACAGCAGATGATTTTGCCTTGTTGCATGTTAGTCTCTAGTATTAATAAAGTTCCTGTTTGGTTAAGCTAAATTCAAATACTGTCTCGATCACTTCCTTTAATCAAGAAGAAATGTCTTTGTCCTCTTCTCACCCCACCTATTTCCCTGTTCCTCAGCTCTGTCAGTCCTACCACTGTTTATCAGGAATGGTGGGCTTCTGCTCAAAGAAGAGAAGCAGGGCTGAATCCCCTCCTCCTCCCAATCTGATGTCCTATAAATTCACATCCTCACTTTCCATTCTCATGATGAAATGTTTGCAGTTGTGTGATGCTACCAGCCACTCTGGTACAGACATCTGTTCTCTCTTCTGAATTCCCTTTGGCTGTCTGCCTGCTCCTTCTGCAGATACAGTCCAGTCCACATCCCAATGAAATCCATTTTCATCATACCTGCTGCTCTGGCTAGCGAGCCCTTGATCTAAGATCTTGAAGCCTCAGTGGCTCAACTTCCTCCGCTCCTGCCCTTGCCCTTCGTGAGCTTTGTCCAAACTGCACCCTTCTCTGGACCGCAATTGTGCACCAATGTGCCCTGATAGACGAATCGCATCTCCCATGCTGATGTATTCTACTCTGTCTTGGCTCTGGACGGAGGTAATCAAACCTGCTCTTTGCTGCCATTGTTTGACCGTCAGCTCACGCACTGCCGCGTGACAGATCATGTGACAATGCCACACTCGCCCTATGCTGCATGACGTCTTCACCCCTTCACGCCATTCCAATCTGATCCACAAGCCACCACTTCTCCTCTCTCTTGCCCTTGTCTCTTTCCCCTTCCCTCATCATCACAGCCTCTCTCTCTGTCTCTCTCACGCCTTTTTCATCCTGCATCCTCCCCCTACCCTTTTCATCCATCTCAAGCCTCCATCCAATTTCAGCTCCATCTCTATCCGGATCCATCTCAGCCCACTCCATCTCGGATCAGCCCCGGCAACTCAGCTCTGCTACTCCCTTCTGACTCTACATGGCTCCATCTCAACCCAACTCCATCTCAGCCCACTCCACCTAAGATCAGCTCCTGCAACCCAGCTCTGCAACTCCCTTTTGACTCAACATGTTTCTATTTCAGCCCGCTCCATCTTTGATCAGCTCCTGCAACTCCTGTCTGACTCCTCCTGGCTCTGTCTCATCCCGGCTTCATCTCAAGTTCAACTTGAGTTCAGCTCTGATGTGTCTCAGCTCTGCGACTCCTCACTCCACTCGGCTCCATCTCAAATTGGCTCCATCTCATCCCACTCCATCTCTGATCGACTCCTGCCACCCAGTTCTGCAACTCCTTTCTGACTCTTCATGGCTCCATCTCATCATGGCGCCATTTCAAGTTCAACTCCTTCTGGTTGAGCTCCAATGTGTATCGGCTCTGCAACTCCTCACTTCACTCAGTTTCATCTTCGACTGGCTCCAGGACAACTCAGCTCTGCAACTTATTTCTGTCTCAGCTCTGCTCCATGTTGGATCAGCTCCAGTACAGTCAGCTTTGCAGCTTGTTTCGGATTCCACTTGACTCCATCTCAGATCAGCTCCAATGTAGCTCGGCCCTGCAGCTCATTTCTGGCTTCACTCAACTCCATCTCAGATCAGCTCATACATTCCTTGGTTCTGCAACTCATTTCTGACTCTCCTTTGCTCTATCTCAGATTAGCTCTAATACAAACAGCTCTACCACCAATTTCTGGCTCCACTCAGCTTCATCTTGGATCGGCTCCTATGCGCCTCCTTTGAAACTCCTTTCTGATTCAGTTTGGCTCCATGTCAGATCAGTCCCATCTTGGATCTGCTCCATCTGATATCAGCTCCATCTAGGTTCGGATCCAACACAATCAGATCCACAACTCATCGCTGTCTTACCTTGGCTTCACCTCAGACCAGCTCCACCTTGGATGAGCTTTATTTCGACTCCATTTCTTCATTTTTTCCTCTGACTGAACTACTATTGGTTAGTTTGTGAAAATGCTGCCTGTAACCTGCTGCTCTTCTAGTCACTTTGGCTGTTCTTCGGCCACCGCTGATTTGACTCCCCTCGTGCTGTTGCCTTCACTCTCTCATGCCATTCAGCTCTCAGTCCTGGGAGCCATGTCCTTTTGCCATTGTCAGTCTTCTGGGGGATTAAACTCTAAGCAAGTGATCAAGTGATTCTCATCCAATGTCATAACTGAACAACAGTACTGTTACAGTACAGTACAGTTGTACTGTTACAGTACTGCTAACAGGATTTTCCATGCCAAACTACCTCCCGCAGTGGCCAGAGAATCATCCAGTTGCCTCAGTAAGCCTATCAACCATCAAAAATAGAGTCTACTACTGTTATTTTTGGAGTTATAAAATGTGACTGAATGTTAGTGATTTTGGTATTAAAAAATAATACACAATTACATTTCGATGTTGAAGCCTCAGTGAGATAATCATTGGTTAATTTAGGATTTAACAGGCGATCGATTATTGAAAATAAAACTCTTGGGTTGTGTCTGTCATTTAATAAGTTTTGAGTAGTATTTCTGTCTCTCTGTTCATACTGCATTGTTATGAATATTAATACATTTTTAAGAACTTCATAGTGAAGAGTTAGTCTAGTTTTCTTCCATTTCCATATTGCTTTGGGGCATGCCCCTTTTCAACTGGTTTATCTGTTAATTTTTCAGTGGCATTTTTGTGGTCAAGGATTTCTTTCTAGTTTTTTCTGGTGCAACAGTATCTAAAATAGATCTTAGCTTACAGTTAAAATTGCAGGCCATATTATGCACTGTTGAGTTAACATGTAGAGGAAGCTTGCAATGCATAATGTTACTAAAAGCAGACGCAGAGATAGTGACATCAAGGTTTTCACTTCTGTTAATAAATAAACCTTGTGAGAGGACTAAATCTAAAGTGTGACCATGTTTATGTGCTGAGTACAATCAAATGTGTGTAAAAGCATGAATTCAGTAGCTTTTTTGTCTGAGGCTTTGTCAACATTTAAAATTAAAATCACCAGTTCAGAAGAATCCTATCATGATTAGTTACACAGATAGACAGTATTTCAGACAATAATGGTAAGAGGGAAGGTGTGTATTTGGGTGGACAATAAACAATCACTAGCAAGACTGGTTCCTTACCTTACAGCAAGATATTCAAAAGAAGAAACTATTCCACATGAAATGTTTATGCAACTAAATATGCTGGAAAAACAACAACTACACCACTTCCCGTCTTACCTTCTTCTACAATATGAATACAATCCTAATTCTGTGGAGCAGTTTCAATCAAGGAAGCTGCCCCATCTGAACTAAGCCAGGTTTCAGTAAGTATCATATAATCCAGGTTCTGTTCAGAAATAAGATTTGACAGTGTTGGTTTTGTTAGTTAGTGCTCTTACATTCAGCAGTGCCATTCTTAAATTTCTATCTGTCTTTGTTGTGGTGCAATATGTAAGCTTACAAACTGCAACTAACTTGAAGTAATTATTGTATTCATGTAGTATGTACTGCATTGCGATTGCTTATAAAGTTTGAATAGAGAAGTAACCATTAGTGCCAGATGAGTTGCTGTTTGTGTCATTTATTCTCGTAGTTTGAAGATAAAACACGTAGATCTGTGGCAACTTAGGTTGAGTCTGTCTCGGTGATAAAGAGAAGGTCTTTCCCAAAAAGTCCACCTTGTCAGCCATTCGTTTAGTGCATAGAGTCCACTAAGAATTTCTTCTTCCTCTTCACCTTCCTCTTCCTCTTTTTTTCCTCTGTTGGCGGAAGGCCAGAAACTAAACATTGGTTGTTTGTTCCTGTATGCTACGCAATAGTATTATAACTTCACTCTTTCAATCTCGTGTGTTGTTTACTCTTGCATGCACAATGGCAGTACCAATATCCTTATGCTTATTAAAAACAGAGGGCAGTGTTTTTGCGATATCCATGACTCTTACTAAAATGTTTGGTGGTGAGTTCAGGCTCAGAGAGTGGTGAGGATCCATGCTGTCTGGCATTCCCAGACTCCACTTTCAACAGGTTTGGAGGTTACCATGAGAGTCCCCAGCGTAAGTTTCAGAGGTCTGGCCTGGTGCCCTGTTTCTTAGCACACCACATTTCTCATGACCATCCATAGGTCTGGGAAACTGGCCACTCCAGCTAGACAGGAGGCCTCTGAGGCACCATAAGGCAAGTTTTCTGAACATGGAGTTGAGTCTGACATTCCAGCAGTGCCTTAATCTCATCCTCCAATGATTTTTGTATGTTTCAAGGATGGCTAAGAAATGAGGATTAGCAGAATTCTAAAACCATGTGAAATTAATAGTTCCAATATACATAATACATTTATTCTGAGAATACAGTTTATAATTGTTTGTCATTTCTTTTTTTAATTAAAAATGAATTTACTGAAAGTTCACCTGAGTATCTCCAGGTTACAGTGGAAGTTCTTCAGTCCTGCTGAGAGCTGCTTTACTCCTGAATCCTGCAGGTCATTGTTACTAAGGTCCAGATCTTTCAGAGAGGAGTTCACAGATTGTAGAGTTGAACAGAGAGCTTCACATGAGTCCTTATTGATATAACAGCCATTTAATCTGCAAAAAACATTTTTATGCCATTTTTAAAAAATAGTTTGCTGCAGAGGCTGTTCATTTAACTTAGCATGACATCTCCCCTAACACTGTAATGCTGTAAAACTAGAGCCATATTTGGCATGACCCCTCCACTGACACTGTAATGCTATAATACTAGAGCCATACTTAGCATGACCCCCCCCCAACATTATTATAGTATAAAAACTAGAGCCATACTTAGCATGACCCCTCCCCTAACATTATTATAGTATAAAAACTAGAGCCATACTTAGCATGACCCCCTCCCCTAATGCTGTATTGGTATAAAAACTAGAGACATACTGAGATTGAACACTCATCCAACACTACATTTTAAAAACTAAATATATATGTAGCATGACCCCTCCCCTAACACTATAACATTATAAAATCTAGAGCCATACTTAGCATGACCACTCCCCTAACACTATAATGCTACTACACTAGAGCAGTACGTAGCATGACCTCTCTCCTATTGCTATAACGGTACAAAAACTAGAAAAACTTCAGAAATAATGATGTTTTTAATAAAAAGTGTTCTGAGTATTCTGTGTATGTTCTGGCCCCAGTCTGAACAGAATTTTAGACACAGGCTTTATATTCTAAATCTCCCCACCCCTAAGACAGAGACATGAATCCCGTCATAAACGGGACAGAGTCGGCTTCCTCAGGGACTCAGATCCTACTGTAAATACAGTAGTGTCGTAAACTGAGTGTTCTTTTCTGGGAAGGCCTTAGTGGGTGTTGTAAAGGCTATTTGCTGTTATTGGTCAAACCATGAGGACAGAATATAGTTGACTTCTCAACATTAACATGCTTAGCAAAGAAGAACAACTTAAAACAAAGGAAAAAGACCAGAGAATTAGAAAATGAAACAATTTCCAACAGCATAACCCCTCCCATAACACTATAACGGTATAAAAACTAGAGACATACTTAGCATGACCCGTCCCCTAACAATTTAATGCTAAGAAACTGGAACCATCCTTAGCATGACCCCCCCCCTAACATTTTAATGGTATAAAAACTAGAGACATACTTAGCATGACCCTCTTTACATGTAATTTTATGAAAATGTTAAATTATTTACAATGTAAGTTATAAGTAATAAATTGATGCTTAAATTAAGAACTATATCATAGTATGTTAATATCATATTATACCAATATTGACAATGTTTCAATTCAGTTCAGTCCTAACTTTTAAATTAGGGGTTTCTAATAAAGTGGTCAAGCAGTGTACCTGCAGCACTTCATAATAACTAAAACTATAAGAACTAAAACCTAATTTTAATTGTCTAAATGAAGATCTACTGAAGATCTAATGTGGTCAACCCTAATCAATCATCAGTGTTCAAATATTAATCTGTTGTATTAATGTAGATATAACACTCACCGAGCTTTTCTGCAGACAGTCAGAGCTGGGATCAGTCTCCTATAACCCTCCTCTGATGTGTTGTATTTCTTCAGGTCCAGCTCATCCAGAGCCTCCTCTGAGGTCAGAAACATGCAGGCTAGTGCTGAACACTGTCCAGGAGAGAGTTTCACCACTGAGAGTTTCTCTGATTTTAGATACTCCTGAATCTCTGTGGAGAGAGACTGGTCATTCATTTCAGACAGACAGAGGAACAGATTGATGGATCTATCAGTGGAGACGGGATATTGTTTATCATCTTTGATTAAACTCTTGATGTGCTCGCTGGTTCTCTCTGAGCTGCTCTGTGTTGTTGTCAGTAGACCCTGTATGAGTCTCTGATTGGACTCCACTGAGATGCCCAGCAGGAAACGGATGAAAAGATCCAGGTGTCCATTCTGACTCTTTATAGCTTTATTAATTGCTGCCATTAGCAGTTCATCCAGAGGAACATTATTATGCAACCATCTGTACTGTGGGATAAAGCATTGCAGTTCCTCCATGTTTCTGCTCTCATAGCAGAGAAACACATAAACAGCAGCCAGGAATTCCTGAAAGCTCAGATGAACAAAGCAGTAGACCTTTCTCTGGTAAAGCATGCATTCCTCCCTAAAGATCTCAGTGAAAATTCCAGAAAACACTGAGGCCTCGGTGACATCAATGCTGCTCTCTTTCAGGTCCTCTTCATAGAACATCACATTGCCCTTCATCAGCTGTTTGAAAGCCAGTTCAGCCAGTTTCAGAAGAACGGTTCTGTTGAATTCCAGCAGATTCTTTGGGTCGCTCTCATCTTTCTCCTCATACTTCTTGTTCTTCATGTTGGTCTGAGTGATCAGGAAGTGTGAGTACATTTCAGTCAGAGTTTTAGGGATTTCTGTATTACGCTGTTTCATGATTTGCTGAAGAACAGTGGCTGAGATCCAGCAGAAGACTGGAATGTGACACATGATGTGGAGGCTCCTCACTGTCTTAATGTGGGAGATGATTCTCTCGGCTTGGTCTTCATCACTGATTCTCTTCCTGAGGTACTCCTCCTTCTGTGGGTCACTGAATCCCTGAATTTCTGTGACACGGTTGATGTATTTAGGAGGGATCTGATTGGCTGCTGCTGGTCGAGAGGTTATCCAGATTAGAGCAGAGGGAAGCAGCTCTCCTTTGAAGAGGCTCGTCATCAACACACCCACTGATGATGTCATGGTGATGTTAGATACTTTCTCACACTGTTCAAAGTTCAGCTGAATTCTGCTTTCATCCAGACCATCAAATATAAACACAGCTTTGAGCTGATCATAAGTCTTTGGGTCCAGATCTTTGAGCTCAGGATGGAAGTCACACAGAAGTCCATGAAGACTGTATCGATCATCTTTAATCAAGTTCAGTTCCCGGAACGGAAGCACAAACATGAAATCTACATCCTGATTGGCTTTTCCTTCAGACCAGTCCAGAATGAACTTTTGCACAGAGACAGTTTTTCCAATTCCAGCGATGCCTTTAGTCAGCACACTTCTGAGCTCTGTCACTTTTGGTCTGTTATCTTCTTTTCCTTCTTTCTGTTTGTGAGCTTTACTCATCTCAGCTATAATGCTCTCTTCTTGTGTTTCTCCTTCAGGACCTTGTAGAGGTTTAAAGATGTCTAAGCAGTTGATTGGGGAGTCGTGTAAATGTTTCCTGGATATTTTCACCATCTGTAAAACCTCATGTTCTTCATTCACTCCTTCACTCTCTCCCTCTATGATGTAGAGTTGTGTGTAAATCCCGTTCAGCAGGGTTTTATTCTTTTCTGTTTTTATTCCTTCAAATAAGTTCTCATTCTTGTTTTTTATGCAGGTTTTGTGTCTCTTCAAGACTCTGTGAAGGACATCATCCACTGTGGAGTGCTGGCTAATAGGGGTCAATCACCATGACAAACATCAATAATACAAATGACCATAATAATCTTGTGATCATTTATCACATTACATTAGAGCTATTTCATTTATTAGACATTTCTTTTGGTTTACCTCTGGCTTCCAAGATGAACTCAATGTTACTTGTAATAATAATAGTTAAAACTTTGATTTAAATATTGTACATATGGCAATCACTGGTCATTTATGGTTAAAGGCTGACAAACACATTGCTTACTTTACACTTCCCATACTTTTCACATTTTTTTCCAATGTTCACAAGTAAGCATATGTGACATAAAGTGAGCAATATCTGGTCACATGACAAAATTGCATAGCGTATAAGCTTAATATCCTAAATTGCATATAAGCACATGTTTTCATAGGTGACCCCAAGTACTCCTGTGGAACTATTTGATTAGTTGTGAGAACTGTAATACATGATTACATGTGATAACAGGAGGCTGGAGGGATTTGTCTTGTGGTGCAGGAAGACTACCTGCAGCTTAACATCAGCAAGACAAAATGAGTGGTCATGGACTTCTGGTGTGTGCCATGGTGAACCAATCATAATCTGCAGGAGAAGATGTGCAGATGGTTCAATGCTGCATGTACCTGGGGACTATCTGAACGACAAACTGGACTGGACACGTCTGCTAAGTTTGTCTGGTTCGCCCACACAAAGCTCAAGTGCCAACCCAGGAAAAGGTCTAGGTCTTCCCTGGTTAGAACCATACAATCCATGGATTTCTTAGTCTGATAAGAACATTATCTCATGGTCTGAATATTTCTACTCTCATTGCCTCCAGTTCCCCTGTGTCTGTGTTAGTTCTACTTCTGTTAAGAGCCCTGATGTTTAAGCCCAGTTACAAGTCCCTGATGTACATTCTGACATATTAGAGGTTTTTAAACTAATCATGATTGTATCCACTCACTCAGGAAGAAGAGAGAGCCATGGAAAGTTATATTTTAGAGGCCTTATAAAAGGGCTTTATATGGCCTTTCACTTGTTCTGCTGCTTCAGGCTTTTTCTTTGTCAAAAAAAAGGATAGTGGTCTACGTCCTTGTATAGATTATAGGGGTCTCAATGAGGTAACTAAGACGTTCCCTTACCCATTGCCACTCATACCAGTAGCTTTAGAACAACTGTGAGGATCCAAGATTTTTACAAAACTTGATCTTAGAAGCACTTATGGCCTGGCCATTTGGCCTGGCCAGTGCTCTTCTATATTTCAGTCATTCATCAATGACGTGCTAAAAGATATGACTGGTCATTTCGTGGTAGCTTACATAGATGATATTTTGATTTATTCCCCCGATCTTGATACACGTTAGACACAACTGTCAGGTCCTCCAGGACCTCCTCCAAAATCAGCTCTATGTCAAAAGTGAGAAGTGTGAATTTCATCTCTCGAAAGTGTCCTTTTTGGGTTACATAGTGAAAATGGTGAAAATGGCATCTTAATGGACGACCACAAAGTGGAGGCTGTGGTTAACTGGCCAAATCCTACTTAAATCAAAGACTTGCAAAAGTTCCTTGGCTTTGCCAGTTTTTATCGCCACTCCATATGTAATTATAGCTTCATTGCAGCCCTCCTGATGGCTCTGCTGAACGGTGCAGCTAAGAAATTAGCATGGTCACCTTGAGTAGAGGATGCCCTCAAAGCAGTTAAGGCTACGTTCACAACAGCCATCATACTTAAACATCCACCAAATGCAACTATGGGATTGGTAACAGAAAGTTATTAGCTGTCAAACTGGCATTGGAAGAGTCAAGGCACTGGTTAGAGGGTGCTAATCATCCTTTCTTATATAAACAGATCATAAAAATCTTAAGTATCTGCGCACTGCCAAGCGCTTTAATCCAAGACAAGCCTGTTGGTCCCTGTATTTCTCTCCCTTTTGCTTTAACATTTCTTACCGCCCTGGGTCCTGCAACACTAAGACTGACGTTTTGTCTAGAATCCATCAGAAAGAAATGGATGCTTCCTCCTTCAGTACAAGTAGTATCTATTCGTTGGGAAATAGATAAAGAGATTGCCAGGGCTCTAGAAAACATTACTGTTCCTCACAATTACCCCACCAGCAAAACATACGTGCCTGAACCATTTTGTGTTTGCTGATTTAATACTGCGGCGTCAGCGTAGGCACATGGAGCCTGTGGCACTGTTCATAAAAGTAAGGTAGGACTTGTCTCAGTTATAGGTCAAGCATGGTCTATGTTGTTTTATTGAAGAGTCAACCAGTGAAAGTTCCTGTATTTTTAAAGTAATTCTTAGTGATTTTTTCCAAATAAATCTACTCTGGCCCTCCAAACATTGTTTGTTTTTTAAGACATCACCTAGCACACAACACAACTGGTACCTTTGAAGGACCTGCAACCTGGCCTAGTCTAATAATAAAAGGCTGTTAATGAGTCCAGTGATAAAAGGTCACTAATGAGTATCTATAAACAGTATTTAGTGTTGGTTTAGGGAACTTTAAACACTGTTCTTTTATATTTCTACAGAAAAAACTGAATAATTATTTGGTACAGTATAAACTGTTGCACTTCATTCAAACAGGGAGGGAGGAGATGAAAGATGGAATTGTTGTTAATATTGTTATCTAAAATTAGTCTTTATTATTTAATAAATAACTTGCTTCAATAAAGAGACTTTTAGTAAACCTAAAAAACACCCGTCTGCAGTGCCATTGAGTAAATATATGTATATATATATATATATATATATATATATATATATATGTGTGTGTGTGTGTATATATATATATATGTATATATATATATATATATATATATATATACACTGAAAAGGTAAAGTCCTTAATGTTTCTCTCATTGTGTGTGCCAAGACTGAAGGTTCAAACTATCACTCTTTATAGACACCCAGCTGGACACTGAAGAAACTGCTCTTTGGGTTTCTGTCCTGCTAAAACCTAAACTCTAACCTTTACAAACTGATCTACAACATGTAGCCCAGAGCTCAAAAAACATTTGAAATGTTTCACTGTCAGAACTGTTGTTTACTAGTAGCAGTTATTTACCATGAGTCAGAGGTTCCTCTCCCTCTACTGGACTGTGCTGGTAACATCATGGACCGGTCACTCTTCATAGACACACAGCTGGGTTCGCCTTCTCCTTTGCTGAAATTAGGAAAGTCTCTTATGGACCGCTCACTCTTCATAGACACACAGCTGGGTTCTTCTTCGCCTTCTCTGCTGAAATTAGGAAAGTCTCTTATGGACCGGTCACTCTTCATAGACACACAGCTGGGTTCTTCTTCACCTTCTCTGCTGAAATTAGGAAAGTCTCTTATGGACCGGTCACTCTTCATAGACACACAGCTGGGTTCTCCTTCTCCTTTGCTGAAATTAGGAAAGTCTCTTATGGACCGCTCACTCTTCATAGACACACAGCTGGGTTCTCCTTCTCCTTTGCTGAAATTAGGAAAGTCTCTCATGGACCGCTCACTTTTCATAGACACACAGCTGGGTTCTTCTTCGCCTTCTCTGCTGAAATTAGGAAAGTCTCTTATGGACTGGTCACTCTTCATAGACACACAGCTGGGTTCTTCTTCGCCTTCTCTGCTGAAATTAGGAAAGTCTCTTATGGACCGGTCACTCTTCATAGACACACAGCTGGGTTCTTCTTCGCCTTCTCTGCTGAAATTAGGAAAGTCTCTTATGGACCGGTCACTCTTCATAGACACACAGCTGGGTTCTCCTTCTCCTTTGCTGAAATTAGGAAAGTCTCTTATGGACCGCTCACTCTTCATAGACACACAGCTGGGTTCTCCTTCTCCTTTGCTGAAATTAGGAAAGTCTCTTATGGACCGGTCACTCTTCATAGACACACAGCTGGGTTCTCCTCCTTCTCTGCTGAAATTAGGAAAGTCTCTCATGGACCGCTCACTCTTCATAGACTCACGGCTGGGTTTTGGAGATCCTGCATGCTTCATTCTGAGAAATGTTCATTCACAGTAAGATTTAAGTGCTGAGTAATTATGTTCTTTAGTAAGTCTCATTTAGTCTGATCATAAGTCATGATTTCCTCTCTCTTTTTAATCAGATTAAGAGCTGACATGAAGTTACTCACTTTGAATCAGAGGTTCTTCCTCCACTGCTGGAGCGATGAAGCTCCATCACTGTAGTTTTACTCTCCACACACAGCTGGACACTGGAAATGCTGCTCTCTGTGAACACTTCATTCATAAAAATGTGAATAGTATGCAGAAAAAATCTAAAATAAAAATGTAAATCTAAAAAATCATAAATAATGAGCTTGTTATCTTAGCATGAAATAATTAACTTGGCATGAAAAAATAATTGTTTGGGGTAATTTTTCTTGATAAAAATAATCCAACACTATCTACTACTAGAGATGAAGTTGAAGCAGATACATGAACAGGCTGTAGATCAGCTGGCACATCTTCAGCTGTTCCACATTCTTTACTTATCATAATCAGCCATTTTATGATACTAATCTGCTGTCAGTGAATGCTGATAAAGTCTATTAATACAGATGAAGTGTGATACAGAGTGATGGAAACAGAGTTTTGAATAAACAATGAGGTAGTGGAGACTAATCCCCTATTTCAGCTTCATCTGAGCACCATAATAATAAAAATGTCTTTGTGTAATATTGTCCCAGAACTGTGCTGTCAATCTCAGGTGGACGGTGTTGGAGTGGAACAGTAATTTGATCTCTCAGTAAATGGTCCATCACTCTGATCATCTGATCCATCTCTCATCATTCAGCCATGTATAGATGACCACTCTACTCAGAGCTAATATAGGCTCAGTTCTCTCCATTAGACTACAGTTAGGCTATCTTTAGTTTACACTGGACTAATCCTGTTATATCATCTTCAGTATTTTCAAAAGTCTGCCGAACTCGTGATGGACGGTTAGGCATCAATTTTTCTACACCTTTTAAAACTGGGAGTAAATTTGAGTTAATGTCTTAAGTCACGTTGTTCAGAAACTACATTTAACAATGTCAGCTAATGTCAGAAGTGAGCCCTGAACATGACCTAAAAGAATATTTATGAAGAACTTTATTTATTAACTCTGCAATCTCTTCATCTCTGAACTTTCAGTTTCTGTTTAGTCTTGAGTTTGTTAACAGCTCCACAATTTTTACAACCCAGAGCCTCACAAGTGAGCAGCTAGTAGGCAGACAGATGTGGAAAGTTAAGAATTACATATACTCTCATTACAGTACTTGAGTACATTTTTCCCTATAAAGGTACTTTTTGGAGTACAATTAAATCACAGTACTTTTACTTGAGTTAATTTCCAATAAAGTGTTTTTACTTTTAATAACATTACATTACTGATGAGTTCAGAGACGTGAAGTTTAAAGAAGACAGATAGAGGAGAATGTTACTAGCACTCACAAGGATTACACTTTATCCACTTCATCTTCAATCATTTTTAAATGAACCAAAGAAAATGGCTTACTGGACTAAACAGTAATCTGATCAGACAGTGGGTGGATTATGAAACTGTTCTGTTGTGCAGATGCAATGCACAGACTGATCTGAGATTATCTCACATCCATAAACAGCTATTAGTGACTCTCTCTTTTAAAATGCAGCCTCTCTCTGATCTATCAGTTCATTATTAAAAACGGTATTTACTGATAGAATCTCAGTATAAACAGACAGTAGAACCGATCACCTCTATAATCCTGATAATCATTATCAATATTGTTACTGTCTCTCTCTGATCTCAGTTCATTATTAATAAACTGTATTTACTGATAGAATCTCAGTATAAACAGATAGTAGAACTGATCACCTCTATAATCCTGATAATCATTATCAATAACATTACTGTCTTTTTCTGATCTATCAGTTCATTATTAATAAACTGTATTTACTGATAGAATCTCAGTACAGTATAAACAGACAGTAGAACTGATCATCTCTATCATCCTGATAATCATTATCAATAACATTACTGTCTTTTTCTGATCTATCAGTTCATTATTAATAAACTGTATTTACTGATAGAGTCTCAGTACAGTATAAACAGACAGTAGAATTGATCATCTCTATAATTATAAATAATCATTATCAATAATTTTGATGAGGTCTGATGTTATCTAGATGAAAGAAGTTCCAAGTGTGGAACTAAAGCTCCTCTCTCCATGTTCTGTAGAACCACAGCACTGAGCAGAGTAAACTGTGCAGTGCTGTGGTTCTACAGAACATGGAGAGAGGATCTTTAGTACAAATTTGCTGATAGAATCTCAGTACAGTATAAACAGACAGTAGAACTGATCACCTCTATAATCCTGATAATCATTATTCAGTGGAAATGCTGGTTTTGTGTGAACAGGTTTGTACAAATTTTTTTGTTATTTAAACTTTGATCTGAAAACTGTAAGCTAGCTAGGCCTTCTTTCTTCATAGCTAACACGCCACTCAGTAATGTTATAAATCTGTGCATTTAAAACACAGTAAGAGAATGAATCAGCCCCCATTGAATCATTGGACTTAAGCAATTCATTCACTTCTTTTCTTTAACTCTCGTCAGTCTTTCTACAGAGGATCTCTGAATTCTTACTGAATCTTTTTGTACAGTCAATCGCACAACTGAGTGCAAAATTTCCCATTTTAGATGTAGTGATGGGCCGATCCACATTTTTTCAGCTCCAAACTAATTCCGATACAAAACTGCCAATACTGGCACAGATTCTGAAACAAGAGCTGTATTTACTTTAATATGATTATTATTATTGTTGGTATTGTGTTTAAGGTTACCTCATGAGGCTGAAATAGACCACACGGCACTTCTTCTACATCGAACTGCGCCACTAACATTGATGACACTCGGTTGTTCATTTCCGGTATAACATTAAGAGTCTCTGTAATGTATTTTCGATTTTTTTGTTTGGCTGTTCACATTCTCTTTTAAATGTGATCTGTATGCGACATCAGTCTGAACAGATCAGCTCCTAAACTGACCCGCATGCGCAAAAGAACAGTGCTTCATGTGGCCATCCAGAGGTTAACAGAGGTTAACAGTCATGACGGCCAGCGAACGCCAGTCACTCCCGCAGCTTTCAGTTTCGTCTTCGCCAGCATCACAGGAGCGATTCTAAAGTTCCAGTGGTTGACAGCTGGACTAATCACCCACAGTGTGTTCGAGTTCGCCATAAAAAGGGCTCGTTATTATTAACTGTTTTCTGACGCTGCAGCCTCGGTCTCCTCCGGCCGCGTTTGGCCGTTTCGTTTGAATACGGAGCGGCTTCGATAAATCTCTTCTAATGTTTTTTGTACAGAAACATCAGCCTAAATATTTATTATTGACTCTCAGCAGCGCGAAATTATGACGAATGCCGAGTTGTACTGACGTAAAAGTCGCATGAATTCCGATTTGGCCGTGTCCGCTCTGCGGCAATGCGACTCTGTCTGAACAGCCAGATCGGAATTCATGCAACTTTTACGTCAGTACAACTCGACATTCGTCATAATTTCGCGCTGCTGAGACTCAAACATTTAGTCTGATGTTTCTGTACCAAAAAATTAGAAGAGACTCATTAAAACGCTCCGTGTTTGAAGAGTTTTTGAACAAACCGGCCGAATGCGGCCGGAGGAGGCCGAGGCTGCAGCGTCAGAGAACAGTTTAAAGAATCCGAGGGCTCGAACCAAAGAAGTGGCCGTGGTCGAATAATGAGCCCTTTTTTACGGCGAACTCGAACGCACTGTGGGTGATGAGCCCAGCTGTCAACCACTGGAACTTTAGAATCGCTCCTGTGATGCTGGCGAAGATGAAACTGAAGCTGCGGGAGCGACTGGCGTTCGCTGGCCGTCATGACTGTTTACCTCTGGACGAGCCGCCACGTGAAGCACTGTTCTTTCTGTTCTGCAGGTCGGTTTAGGAGCTGATCTGTTCAGACTGATGTCGCATACAGGTCACATTTAAAAGAGAATGTGAACAGCCAAACAAAAAAATCGGATTTGGTAAGAAAATCAGATTTGGGCCACTTTTACCTGCTGTGTAAACATAGCCTAAGTGCTCCAACAGGCTGCGAAATGTTCTACAGATTGCGGTTGGTCATCGAGTATAATGAAGTTGAGCAACTTCTCTGTAATCCTTTTAGCCTTTGGGTTGTCTGCTGGAAGTTTAATGCGTTTCTAGAAAGCATCAGCAACAGTCTGTAGCCTGGTAGTGTCCTCCTGTCTGTTAGCTAGCATGAACTCCTGGTACTCTTTAATGTGAAACTTCTGCAGGTGGTTAAATCGGTTGTTTTGTACGACGCAGCCGTACTTCCACCCCTCGGCATGCTGTCTTGTTTTTCAGCGTTTCCAGACTAAAATATCTGCCAACAAACTAACAGCTAATGCTATTTGCTCACTCAGTTACAGACTGAAGTTGCCGTGGGTTCATAGTAAGATGTGGAAAATGGAAAAAACTTTATGATAAAATTCTTACGACAAGCATCTTATAAAGTATTTAACCGTTGTGCACACCAAGCTGCATGCCCCTGTGTAGAGGACTTTATTAGAATCCATTGTGTACTCTGCCGTTTTGAGATTGAAGGTGCTTCAGGCAGGGAGGGCGTGTGCTGGAGAGCATGAACACCAGCTTTGTGACTAGCTTCTGACTGACAGCGAGCTAGCACTTTTTGCCATTACTGCCATACTGAATTCTCTTCCAAAATAGCTGTTTGTTTGATTTTTTACACCACAAACTAAAAGACTTGCCATTCTCCCCAGTTTCGAAGAGCCAAGACCATCACCATTTATTTTTGACAGTTTTATTGATCTCTGACACATTGGAGCCTTTGCTCAGTAAAAGCGTGTCCATGCTGGCTAACCTGAAAGAAAAATAGCTGCTCTTAAAATGCGGCGATGCACCAACTACTATGAACCAGCCATGAATAGCTAACATAACAGGGCTCGCGATAAGAACAAATGCCGCATAACCCTCATTGTGCATTGACACATACTCAACCACAAATTCAATAACCAACACAGTATTTCACAGTTCAGAACTCCCTCTTTCTCCCTTTGAGTCTCCAACCATAACCCTGCCACAGCAGGCCAGACTGAAACGCTGTACTGACCTTCCTTCTGCACAAGGCAGAGTGAACTGGGTTTTGACTTGAAGAAGTTTATAATGTCATCTTAATCCAATGTGTTAGTTCTTTCTCTCTTTCATCCTCCAGATGTTGTTTTGATAGGCAATG